ATAGTATATATATAATAATATATTTATAAATAATATAATAATATTTTTAAAAATATTATATATATAATATTTAAAATATTATTATAATTTAATATGATTTCTTGTATATATGTATAATATTTTATATGTTGTATATTTTATATTCATGTTTGAGACATGATTCACATTGACGTACACGTGTGCATAGGTTACAACATCTTGTCAAACACCGTTGACGCAATGGTCAAACAAATCATCGAAGACGTTAAAGTCGATGACAATCGCTTCCAATCTTCAACATTGCGGTGATTCCAACACATCTTCGATATCCGTCTCATTACGAAGTTCCCCATATTCACAAACGCATGGATCACACTCGAACGCGGCTTCTGCAAGCAGTTCTGTAGTGTCAAAGCCGATTACATCGATGGACAGCAGGCAACAGCAACAACGAACGCAACAGCAACCGCAACAGCAGCAATCGCAACATCAGCTGGATGTCAATCAATCATGTATTAATTTTGTAGATCCCGCGCAATATGCAACTGTTAATCTGCAGTCAGTAGTCACAGCGGGATTTGCAACGCCTGCTGCCCCTATTCTTTCAACCGTGCCTACTCACGAGGTAAGGAGTTAAATAACTCGATATTAATACGTATTATCTCTGACATGTGCATAAAATATACAAGTTTCTATTATAATTGCACTTGAAATGAAATTTTCACTCACACTCAAAACACGCGCGTGTTTTACAATTGCATTCTAATTAATTTTCTATAAACGGGAAGATTCTCTTTTTCTATACATGCACATTTTTTTAACATCTGTTTAATTTTAATGTAATAGTATTCTATGAATAAATCTAACGATTAAATTCGATTTGTATTTACAATATTTTGCGTACTTATATATGTGTGAATAACTTAATAACAGTATTTTTATTAATTATCCATTTTTCTATCTGGTTCTACAATTTCTTCAATCTCTTTCCTCGATTTCAGATGTTACATCAGCAAGGCATAGTGATGACTCCTGCGCAGAATCAAATACAAGACGAATTACAAAGGAAGCACGAAGAATTACAACAGTTGATCGTTCATCAGCAGGAGGAACTAAGAAGAGTTTCAGAACAATTGTTTATAGCTCGATACGGGATTCTTACACCACTATTAAATGTTCGTATATCTTTTGAATGAAAAACTTTGCTACATCTTTTTTACTTATTTAATATATATTTTTTAAATGTATATCTACTTTACAAATATTAAAAAATATTGTCAATTAGATTATATACTTAGATACTATCTGATTCTGTCTGCTTATAGAAAAGCATTCATAATCATTGATCGATATTTGGGTTTTAGGCGAGTATATCATACAATCCATCGAATCCGTGTCAACAAGCGAATCGATGCAACACTAACAATACTAACGTACAGTTGCCCAATTCCAATAGCGTACAAGGCGTTAATGTACTTCCCATACCAATCACCGTGCCAGTGCCTATAGTGCCTACGGAATTATTTTCTCATTCCTTGCAAATGAGTCCATCGCCGAACTCGACGCATGGCAATGTAAATGCTATAATTCAAACCCAACAACAGCAACAACAGCAACCGGTACCACCACAGCAGGAAGGTAATCCCGATCTCGTGTCTTTTCAAATCTGCCCGCAACAAGACGAAATGATCTACGCTAACATAGATGCGTCCTCGAATCAGCAGTAGAGATCATCGTAAAATTAAAGACTTTTTGTGACTCCAATTGTATCCATCGTAATAGGCAAGAAATTGATAATTATTTTTTTAAACTTTTCTGATTCTACTGCATTTACCTATCGCAGTGGAGGAATTGCCAAATAATACCTATTGCCATAGTTGCAATTGTTTTTCTATTTACAGGAAAAATGCATTTACGGAAAACGTGTGTTTGTGTGTGTGTCTCTCTTCACGAGTGTACAAAAATATTCAAAAAATTATTATGGTAATTGTGTTTGTGATATATCGCATGCACACAGATATTACATAAACTGTAATATAATATACTGTAATATAATTTTGACGTTTTAGCGCAATAATGTGCAATTTTTAATATATTGACGTATTTATGTTTAACTCGACATATAAAACTGTGCATCAAATGTGAATTAATGGAACACGAGACTACTACTTTACAATTGTTGTATTTTTGTTTTATATAATCGTATCTATATATTTTTCTCAATCAGTGGAATTTTATTCATAAAGACTTTCATACTTATGAAAAGGACAAATCGACATCTTTCAATTATAAAACTACAACACGATGTTTATATAAAGAAACGCTATATGTGCCACTCTATATGTGTATTGTACAAAATCAGAATTTGAGGATTTAAACACTGCAAAGTAATCTACGATGAGCGAGATAAAAGATAATAATTTTATTAATTGTGTACTTTTACCAATTATAATCCTGGTATTTTTCAAGCCTATGATCGTACCAATCCTCTTCGTATAAGTGATGATCTTTAATTCTCACTTATCTGCCGTAAAGAGAATATTATTTATGTCTATGTAATGTGAAGAGAGATATCCTATAAACAAAAAGTTACTGTGGGAGGAAGCGCGCGATGACAAAAATATTGTATAAAATTGATTTTGATAAAATTCTCGAGAATGGTTTGGTTATTTCGATAAAGCGTAAAGAGAGTTTTATCGTGACAAGTCAAAGAGTTCTGATTAAAAATGAACACATCACATAAGTGCATATTTATTGCATTGATTTATCTAATAAAACTGACGTCACAAACATGACATCGGAAAAGGGACCAAACTCCACATTTTCCGGAACAGGATATATTCAGATTTTTTTGTATATGTATATATGATAGTAAAAAAAGTAATATATATTTTGTTGTATATGTATATATATATATATATATGTATATATATGTATATATATAATGTACATCAAATAATTAGTTTTTGCGAAAATCTGAACTGTGCTCATAAATTTTGTCGTTTCCTAATGTTTAATCCTTTTTCTGTTTTTCTGCCGATAACTATATAAATTTGCTATTTTTAATAAAAAAGAAGAAAAATAAGAAAGACACATTTCTAATACATATATTTATATGATGTTTATTTAATATATTGAAATTAAAAAACAGCAAAGAAAATTTTTTTATTATTTCCTTTACAAAAATTATCTTGAGAAAAATAAATTTATTACAGAATAATAATTTTTTCATGTCTGAAAATCATACAATAATAAAAATCTCGAAGAAAGCTAATATAAATAAAGTTTTAATGTAGAAAAAATAAGAGTTTTTATTGTTTAAACATACTTTAAACATGTATTACTTTAACAAAGACTACAGATTCTTCGCAATACATATTAGTACTATAATATTTCAATGATGCAAGTACAAATAAATTGATATTTAATAGAATGCATTATAAAAAAACAACATACATTGAATAAAACTAATTCTAATGTTGTAATTTTCTCAAAGCATCCATCAAAATTTGAATTTCTTGATTCACGTTATTTACAAGATCTTCCACTTGTTGTTTACTATCGATAATGCTGATACTCTGCGTATAAGCATCGTATCTGACCCCGAATTTTTTCGGTATAGTTTGAGCAAATTTCCTAAAATAAAAAAAAAATTAAACGTAAAGTCAAGCGTCAAGATGTACATCATGTCAAGGCATCAAGCTATTTTCTTTAGCTAACCATCAATGATTCTATACGCGTTTACTTCGAATTATCACGCAACATGAATTATTATGCCTGCGGCTTGCGAAAGACGCGTTGCGTAGCGCACACAATAAAAACATATGTTGTCTCGTAGCGAGAGATAAGACAATTCGCTCGACACATGTATTATTTCCGTACTCACGTCATCTTTTCTTTTGCGTCCTCGAAATCCTCAGCAACATAATATATAGGTTGATATTCCGTTATCGGATATTGTTGCAATGCAGTCTTTGGCGGGTCAAAAGGTCGGAGTTCTGGTTTGTCGCTCAAACAATATTCCAATTCGCCAAAAGACGACAGAAGTCCGGCTATATTGTATAAAATTGATTTTGATAAAATTCTCGAGAATGGTTTGGTTATTTCGATAAAGCGTAAAGAGAGTTTTATCGTGACAAGTCAAAGAGTTCTGATTAAAAATGAACACATCACATAAGTGCATATTTATTGCATTGATTTATCTAATAAAACTGACGTCACAAACATGACATCGGAAAAGGGACCAAACTCCACATTTTCCGGAACAGGATATATTCAGATTTTTTTGTATATGTATATATGATAGTAAAAAAAGTAATATATATTTTGTTGTATGTATATGTATAATATTATACCATTTTCATACATATCTAATGTATTGTAATTACAAATGTATGTTAGATCGTTATAATATTTCATAATTGTTGCTCGATGAAAAAATATATGATGAAAATAAGGCAGAGAACATTCCAACGAGATCGCAGGAAATCGCGATGTCGTGGAATGCGTTTAATTGATGTGATAATGTTCTTCGGATAACTGCGTAAAACATGTAATACAAAATTGATATAGATTGGCATAAGTAATTGTATTGGCAGAGACTGAAAAAAATAATTGATAATTTTATATTATATGTATTAAAAAAAAAAATTAAACGTAAAGTCAAGCGTCAAGATGTACATCATGTCAAGGCATCAAGCTATTTTCTTTAGCTAACCATCAATGATTCTATACGCGTTTACTTCGAATTATCACGCAACATGAATTATTATGCCTGCGGCTTGCGAAAGACGCGTTGCGTAGCGCACACAATAAAAACATATGTTGTCTCGTAGCGAGAGATAAGACAATTCGCTCGACACATGTATTATTTCCGTACTCACGTCATCTTTTCTTTTGCGTCCTCGAAATCCTCAGCAACATAATATATAGGTTGATATTCCGTTATCGGATATTGTTGCAATGCAGTCTTTGGCGGGTCAAAAGGTCGGAGTTCTGGTTTGTCGCTCAAACAATATTCCAATTCGCCAAAAGACGACAGAAGTCCGGCGCCATACGCCTTTAATTCACCATTTTGTCGGCACAATCCGTATTCGACCGTGAACCAAAAACACTGCAAGAACAAGTTGTGAAAATTATTTATAAAAATAAAATTCAATATGTTATTTATTTTCTTCCTCAATTTTTTTATAAATTATTATTTTTCGACTGATAAAATAAGTATTGAAGAGATTAGAATACTCGATTAGTACTAGAAATTAAGTTTCTCATTTTTATAATTCAATCTTATCAAAGTCGTATAATAATATAGTTAATGAAACTCATACTTTCGCGACCGTAATATTATATCTTTTCGAGAACTAAAATTGATAAGAGCAATTATATACATATATGTACGTTTTATCATTTTATTATATTATACAGATAAAATCATAATATAATTAAAAATTAATAAATAAATATGACATGCTGCTTTGAAATAGCATTAAATAGTAGAAAATAAACTGCAGTAAATTGGAATTCTTTACAACTTTTACATGATATTTTAATATAGATAAAGATATGATCTGTTACCGTCGCGAGTTTCTCTATGTAATCATCTGGAGCACCAAGCGACGCCAGACCAATAACTTGTGAGAACTGTGCAAAGGATGGATCAGCAAAAAGTGGCACGTGACCCAAAATCTCGTGGCACACGTCCGGTTCCGGCGTATAGAGAGGTTTACTGCTGTGCCGTATATATTGCGTACTGTGAAACACCCTGAAGGCCAATCCAGCGAGAAAATCGCGCGAAGACAATAATCCTGCCACTGGACGAAGTGTGAAACCGGTAGAGTCTAAAATATCGAGATGAAAAGAATTGATTATAATTCAAAACAAATCATGTAAAATTCATGTAAAAAAATGCCATTGATGTCACTCTAAATCAATCTCCAAAGCTATCTTTTTTTTTTGTATGTTGCGCATACAGAAAAATATCAGGTATATTACCTTTCAAAAAGTTAGATATATCTTCGAGTTGGGGTATATTGTCTTCCCGATAGCCGCAATTTTCGATCAGCAATGGGAAAACATGATTATGCTCTCTACAAGCATATTTCGGATAAAGCTTAGTCAAGTTTTTGAAGACTACGCCCCACGTAGATATTTCTTCAGGCGTGTACACCACTCTTGGAATCGATTGTCCACTGAAATATTACATGATATGCATATCGTTTTATTTAATAAGATGCATGTTCAAGTATCCTTGATTAATAATGTATAAATATTTTTATAAAGATGTTTGTGCGTAGTTTCTTTGATTCTATTTGAATATTATGGCTTTATACTTACTGCTTGTAATTGTAAGCAATGTCAGCAAAATATTTTCTTCTTTTTCTGTATACGGGATCTGTGAAACCAGGATGGTCGCTATTGAGCTCAGCACCATACGACAAAATCTGATTAGCGAATTTGTCGAGATCGCGTATTCTCCTCGGAAACCATGGTACTGTGTCTATATTGTCTTTATGATTTCTGAGAGAGAGAATGCATTTACGATTTATGTTAGATTTTATTACTGAACAACGTTCATATAAACATTTAATTAAATATACATAATACAAATAATGAAAATCTAATTTAGTAAATTAGATTCATAAATAAACAAATTAATTATTTATTTATTTATATGTATTTAATTTATTAAATCAGATTTTATATATTATGAATTGATTATGAAAATAAATAAATTAATAAAAAGATTGTAGAACCGTGTATACTCTTGGTATATATTATAGCAATCAAAACTTACATCTATTAGCATCATAACTTATTTCAAGGAAGCAAATGGCGATCGATATGTGTGTATAATACAAAATAAACATATAGAACATTTTTCTGTCACATCAGTGAGTTAAAAACATATCAACGCGCATGCGTGTCAAATTATATATAAAATATTTTACACAAGCAAAATAAAAACAAATTAAAGCAATATGATTAATAACCAAAACCATTGAATGATTATGATATGTATTTACTATCCAAACATAAAAAAATTAGTAGCTATTATAGGATTTAAAAAAATAATAAATAATGTTATAGAGAATACATTCTTTAAAAATATATAATAATTAAAATATTTAAATAAATCTAAAAGACTCCTACCTAGAAATGATCGAAAAGTAACTACACTGATCTCGTAAAGATTCAATTGCGGAGGCTATATTACCGCTCGGCGCACATTCCACCATAAATTCATAGCCGTTTGGTCGTCGAAGAGAGCTTCTGGATTCGATGTGCAAGAGATTCACTTTATGTTTCTGAAATAATGTTTTGCATACTTGCATTTCTTTCAATATTTAACAATTTCATTAACATATGTCACACTTCATCTCACTTACCGCAAACAGTTGGAGATATTTTCCCAACGATCCAACTTCATCTTCTTCTGTAGGGGAAAAAATGAGGCAGGTGCTTTTAGCTGAGTCTTTGCCCTCTTTGATATAATTTCCGCCATGGATGAGCTTTGGCTAACAAACAGTTTAATTAAGAATAATTATATTTGCGTTATTATAATGCGTTAAACAAAATAATTATCCTTCAAAATCTTTTTTGCAGCAATATTTTAATATCTCAAATTTTTTAAACATTTTGGTAAATATAAAAATATAAATTAAAAATATAAACATGTAATTCAGAAAGAGAAACATTTTTTATTGACGATGTCATATTTCTAACATGTTAATTAATAAAGATTTTCATGGAAATATGAATAAATATGATCATTTTACACTCCGTGCACTAATAAAACATTTATTTAAATTTGAAATCCATAATTTATTAATTTTTTTATTAATGTCATACAAACATACCGGTAATTCTGTCAAATCTACCATTGTATGATTAAATATTACTGCGTTCTTATGGTTCGAATATTCTCGCGTATCACGAGAGTATAACTATAAGATAAACTGGCACGTAAAACAATATAATTAAGAAGTCCTTTCAGATCCATATATATATATGGCTGCAAAACTCCCCTCTTACTCGAGATGCTACTTGATTGAGCGGCTGAGGGAAATCCAGATATGTTGAATGCTGAAATTTTTTTTCGTCTACACAACTTTTTTCCTCATTTGATTTATGCATAAGCAGAGATATAATTATATACGCGGCGCGAATAAACTGCTCGAACATATCATTAAATGTCTTCGTACAGAAAGAAAAAACATCAAACTTTGAATACTGTAATCTATGAATGATTTTGCATCATTTTAATGACGGAGGTCAATTTGAAAGTCAAAGTTGTAATTTACTGTTCTGTAATTTACTTGGCATGGAAGAAATTAATTTGTTCCGCGCATTATTGACATTTATTATCATAAACATCATTCCTTAGTTCATCATGCATAAAGGAAATCTAATGGAAAATTATAAAATGTGATATGAATTTCTGTTATTCGATTAAATTGCTGTTTACAAACACATGTAGTACGCAAGAAACTATTTTCTTTCATCATCTACCCAACATCGATAATTGCGTATGTGTCGAGTCAAACTTAAATTGTTGTTATACGTTATTTTGTTTTCTCCTTATATATAAATCATATGTATTGTATTACACATACACATATGTATTCCATTTAAATAAACTGAGAGAAAGTGATAAATATTGCATATATGATGTTTGATATAATGATTAGCACATCATGGTGCAATCGTGGCGCAAATCACCATCAGCTAATCTGTGATGAAACCGCAACTTTAGGAAAAACTCGACGGATCAGCTACGTCAAAAGTTAATAAATATAATATGTTTTGAGATTCATGAATTTGAGATTCATGAATTTGATATTGTAGAATATAATTTAATTTGAAAATCGTAAATGTTACCTTATGTCGTACTAACTTTTTTATAGTGACTGTATACAAAAATTTATGAAAATAAAAATTTTAATTTTACAGGGCAAATTATTATTTTAACTCATAAATTGATTATTAATTTTAAAAGGCTAAAAATTTTTTATGAAATGTTAAACTCACGAATCTCGAAATGTATTAGATTTATTAATGCGTAATATATGAATTGTAAGTATCATCTATCAAAAAAACCGCATTTATTAAAATCGCGTTAATTATATCAATTTATATTTAAAACTAATATGGCTACCCCTCTAAGACATAATAGATATCACATTGTACTTATCAAGAATAATTATGTTATACTTAAACTATATTAAAAATTAAAAATTATGTAGCTTAAAATATTTTTGTAAGAATAACTGTATATGTACTCATGATCGCTTCTATCTATAAACCTCATTTTATATGTATATCTTCCTTTCTCTATCAGAGAAAAAATATTCATTCATGGAAGCAAAGTAAAATAACCACCTTCAATAAGATGTAAAAGTGAAAATTGTAGAAAGCAATAATACGTCTTGTTATTTTACTAATAATAATAATTGTATTTTTTACCCTACCGTGTCTGGGGGTGAGTTATTAAGAAGTGAGCCATCTTCTTCCTTTTCAGCGTCCAATGTTTGATCAAATTGTCGGCTTGTTTGCGCATACATTGTCGTGATCCGAAAATACGAAAGCACGAGTAATCGATTGACTTCTATTTGAAATGACTTTATTATTCTCTACCCGTCCAACGACGCGGAAGAACTGGTGCTGGCTGTAGCGCAGCTAACAGTTTTAACAGGTTATTCGAAAGAAGAAATATATTCTTGTATTGCAAAAGAATAAAAACAAGTATTGATGTATGCAGAGGAAAGCTATTAAATCCATGACAAAGGGTCGAAGAGTTATCTAAAACCTAACACACGAGATAATGTAGTATCTTTTGAGTTTATAATCATTTATATTATTATAATAAACAAATATGGCTACGTCTTGCCACAACGCAACAATTTATTAACGTATGTTTATGTTATCATTAATCGCAACACATATGTAATATGATATTATATTAGATTATTAATATACGTAAGATTTATAGATAAAAAATAATATCTTATATATATAAATAATTTCGAAATATAAATAAACTATTTTTTTTTTAAATCATAAAAGATAGAAACAAGCATGTTTCGAATTTGTAAACTATTTCAATATATATCTGAAACATTACACTAACATTATTTATTTACCAATTATTTATGTACCAATATAAATTTTTTTATAAATATGAGATGAAAAGAAAGAAAGAAAGAATTAGTTTTATATCTTCCTTAGCATGCTGTTGGATTAGATAGAATGGTATTGGATAGATGAATCTCTGCAAAACGAGACGTAAATAAATAACATGCCATACAAGATTTATAGAAATATACATAAAGCATCTAATATTATATAATTTAAAAAAATAGCCATAGTTAATTCTTCCTCAAAACTCATTATTTTCCAGTAACCAACGTTTTATTCTTTTTTCATGATTAAATTACTTTTTTATCACAGATGATATTATATTAACTTCTTCAAAGTTTTCTGAATGCACTTCTCTGAAGTTTAAATTTAAATTGACACATTGCGAATCGGAGACGTGAGAAAATAAAAAATTTTAGTTTTTGGAACATTCTTGCATGACGCATCATTCATGACGCGTATGGCATAGAACAAATTTAACAAAATAATTAATAAGTATTATGCTCTTCTATTACTAAGGGATATTTTGAACATTCAAATTAATAATAAACTTACAATTTTTTAAATTAAAAATGCATAAATAATTTAAAATACGTTCTGAAAATGGATAAATATAGAATTTTTATGCAATTAATATTATAACGATAATATATCATGCGATCCGCCGTATGTGTTAAGTAAATGCGGAGTTGTGAGTGATCTCAGCTAATGAGTGATCTAAGTCATGTGTTATATCAAGTATATCGCTGTTGAGTGTTTCGTCTCTTTTATAATGTCCCAAATAGTTCATATCATTATCTAACTACTAATAATCTGGTTACAAACATCTACATAAAAAACGATGCCAATGTAGAATTATATACAGGGAGTCACTAGAAAAAGCCTTCTAAGATATTTTTCTAAATATTGATTTTACATACAAATGTTTCAGACAAAAGTTAAATAATTTTTAAATGGCTACATTTTGGTCTTCTTAGCTTTTTTAGGTGGAGGCGCCAGAAAATTTTGAAAGTCATCTCAAGTATTTTTAATGGAAAGCTCTGTTGTAGAGGATGAATTGTAGAGGATGAAAAGACGAATCCAATGACCCATAACATCTTGACTATGGAGCAACCTTGAAATAAAAGATTAAAAAAAAACGAGATGTGAGTAATAGATAGATAATAAAAATAAAAAGTTTTCGAACAAAATGGGTTAATTTTATTTAATAAGGTGTTCAAAGTGTTGCCCACATAATATATGTTGCTTCATGTCTTTGGTATTGAATTCTGTTGATAAACTAACAAAGTTATTTAACTTTTGTCTAAAACGTTTTTGTGTAAAATCAATATTTATGAAGATATCTTAGAAAGTAATTTTAAGTGACTCACCCTGTATATATTGAATATATGAGACTTGATCAATCTTATCATCCAATGTTTGTGACCCCGTGCTTCGCTCGATCACGACGGCAGGTCGTGTGATAAAATGTTTAAACATTATTAACATATTCTTCAATAATATATAGTACACTGTTACGATAGCGCTTGTGTATGTGTATATATGTATGTATATGTGCGTATGTTAGTAATTTGATAATGTAAATGATAATGTAACGATCTTTGTACCAAGAATAAGTTGGAAGAAACGCCAATCTCTCTCTTCTCTCTCAGTAAGAAAGAAGATTTAACGAAGGAAGCACGCCCCAAATAATTTCTTTTGTCGGAGTATATATGTTATACATGTGATTTTCTGAAAAAGAAACGAACAACAAAGTGAATCGCGCGGCGAAATTTATTGACAATGTGACCTTATCTGACGAATGAAGTTTTCGACATTATATTATCATCCTGATAAAAACCAACTGCAATTTTAGTGAAGTTGTGTTACATATTTAGAACAATCAATTATTAGGTAAAATAATACGATTAGATAGCCGTTAAAATTTTTTGTGATTGTACTATTTTATTTTATACTATTTTATTATTACATTCTCTTAGACTGTCGAAGTCTATTAACAGTTTTTATTCATGATACGATTCATGATACGATATTCATGATAAGCACCCTAAAGTATTAGGTTAAACGGAAAGTTCGTTCTGTTTTTTGCTAACAGATGAAGACCGAAGAAACGGCACAAACTTTCCGTTCAACCCAATATATTACGATAAAAATTACGAACGTGTTTTTGATATATAATAAACTTTAATTAATTTGAAATAGTAATTTTTGGAAAGAATATAAGAACAATAAATTTTAAAAAGAACATTATTAGATAATTTTCGCGATAATCTAAAACTTGATAAGTGAGATTGTTCTTATTTCGATTAATATTGTTCTAATATATATACATTAAATTATATAAAATAAAATTATAAAACAATATATAAAATCAATAATAAAAATATCTCCACAATATTGTATGTTTTAGTTAGTCGCAAAAAATATCATTATAATAAAATAAAATAAAATAAAATAATTGTTTTTTCAGAAATAGTCGAATGTTATATTATCATCTATACACACTTGAAGCTTAATTTAAAAGGATCAGTTATATATCAGTCTTTCATGGATTCGAATTTATTGCTCGGTGCTATTAATCGATTCGCGACTTATACATCTTTCAATGTATACCTGAGAGGAACAAGATTTGAGAACGATCCTCATAGACGCAGACGATATTGCAAGTGGAAAGATCGCAGATAATACAGGATAAAGATGGCTTGGTCGCTCGATTTCTTCGCTGGCTGCTTGGGTGGTAAAGTCAATTTTGTGCAAATTCAATTGTGGCGTTGATTTGCATAAATTCTAACATTCTGATTAAATAATTTTTTGGATATAACATAATTGTCTGGATATAACATAATTATCTAGATATAACATAATTATCTGGATATAATTTTCTTTATCAGTTACAAAGTTAATTTCACTTTCCAAAATTCGTTGCTTGCTTGATAAATAGGTGTAATTGAATTTATGAAAGTTAATTTTATCTCAATTATTATTTGCTGTATAATATACTAGATTTACAATGCCACTGAATTAAATGACGATAAAGAAAAGTTATTTTATCGAGTGACTTGGTTTATCGCGCCAGTCGAAAACAACACATGTCGAAATAGCGATTTCTCTTTTTATCAAACTTACGCAAATCAAAAATTTAACTAGTATTCATAACATCCTCTTTTATATTATATACCAGTAACAGATTTTTATAAATAAAAATATATCTGTTGCTAAATCATAATTTTTTTAAATAATGCATCATGCAGATTTTATGCGTGTATTATATGAAAATATATCACGTTATAGATGTATATAAAAGCATTTATAAGAATTTTCATGTTTTAATATAATAAAAACTATTTTATAAATTATAGGATGTGCCGGTATTATGGTGGGATATCCTTTGGACACAGTCAAAGTCCACATGCAGACGCAGGACTCCCGCAATCCAAAATATCGAGGCACTTGGGATTGTCTACGCACTATACTCGCAAAAGAATCGGTATTTAAGAAGAGAAATTGATTATAGAACCGAGAGAAAATAAGAAAATGAGAATCACAAATTTTAATCCGTTCGTCTTATTCACGGACAAAATCTATTAATATCGCCATTCACGTGTATCTTTGTACAGGTGAGCGGCCTTTACAGAGGCATGACCTCGCCAATCGCGGGGGTGGCTATGGTGAACGCAATCGTCTTCGGCGTTTACGGGCATACTCAGCGGCACCTATCCGAACCTGATCGATTGTCGGCACATTTCTTGGCCGGTGCATCCGCCGGGCTTGCACAAACTCCCGTCTCGAGTCCGATAGAGTTGGCAAAAACACGTCTGCAATTGCAATCCCCGTGTCAGGGTGATCTCCGCGGACCTATACAGTGCTTGAGAAACATCTACAAGCAGGAAGGTTATCGCGGCGTCTACAAAGGGCTGAGTATTACGTTTCTCAGGGAAGGGCCAAGTTACGGTGTGTACTTCGTGACTTACGAGATGCTAACCAAGACGTCCTCGAAACAGCCGATCTCGACACCTCACATATTGCTGGCCGGAGGTCTCGCTGGCACCGCTTCCTGGGTGATCTCCTATCCGATTGATGTCATCAAATCACGCATACAAGCAGAAAGTAGCAATCGTTATTCGGGAGCTTTAGATTGTCTTAAGAAGTCCGTACGTGCTGAAGGATACAGCTGCTTATATCGAGGCTTAAATTCAACGATTCTTCGAGCATTTCCGACAAACGCAGCGACTTTTGCTGTTGTCACATGGACATTCAGATTATTCGGCGAACAATCGAGTGAGGTACCGCAGAAAAAGGATATCGTGTCGATAACGTCAACGCAGACGAAAAATATTACGACGAAAGGGTACGAGTCTTTCGTCAGCAAATGGAACGCATTTTTTAATGGTATTTCGAGAAGCAACGGCTTTGCCACGTCGTATTCAATTGGACCCATCTTGCCAATTAGCGGATTGATGCCGGATAACAACGCCTGTCTAATTCACAACTGCAGACGATCAGATTGCAAGCACGACGCATTGAAGCACAGACACATATTCGAGGAGAGAAAAAGAAAATCGCGAAACGACGAAAGAGTTGAGGAGGATGAATACGTCGACGAGAAGAGTGCGGAATGTGACAACGTCAAGACGATCGAAACCACGTGTACCTGTAATCTGTAACTTAGTATCTCAAATCTGGATAGTATTTGACGTGTGGCCATACCAAGTGACAACCAAGTGACTTCAACGATATGTTGATGCAACGAAATGACTTATGTAGAAAAGAAATCAGTGTACGTAAATTTTTCTTTGATGATTAATTTGATTACCAACGAATGTGTATATATATCTATAAAGGAAATTATTTCATAATTCTCATAATTTACGACAATTTGAAATAAATTAATAACTTAATTAATAACAAAAAACTTGTATCAAGCTCGGTATGAAGCAGGAACAGAAGGATCTCTTTTGTCGAGCAGCAGTTTCTGATTGAACGGCGGACATGTAAGACCACATGTCACAGCCAGGCGCGACACTTATTCGCTTTTAAAATCATACAAAATAATTTGTATCTCCCTCTTACAATCCCCTCACCGCATTCATTCCCCTTCACGGCCTTCTGCATTTCTCCAGTTCACGAATCGGTCTTCGATCCTTCCGTTCACGTGTCAAAATTTTGACACATTCCAAATTCCGGCACATATGAACCCGACACACGGTAGCACATTCCAGCCATTGCTAATCACTCTCAGCAACTGATCGCGAGCGGGACTTTATCGCAATCACAACCTCATCCCAGATCGAAAAATTATCAAGTCGCAAATTGTAAAAGTCAAGCTACACCAAGATCGATACGAACTGCTAACCTCCCGCGCGATCACTAAATTCTCAGGAAATAATTATTCTTACTCAGTAAGTGTAAAATAAATTTTTAAATATATAAGCTATATACATTCTTTTAAAATAATATATACAAATAGCAAAACAGTTCGATCATATATATATATGTATGATTATATAATAATAGTTTATCGCGTATACATACTTAACCAATATAATTCAAAAATATTTTATTAATAATTTATTAATTATATTTTGGTACATTATCTCATTTTAATAAAAAAAAGTGTTAATTCATGCCACACATCTTTAACCTTTAATCTTAAATTATTATTATAATTTTAATGTTATAATTATATAATCTTTTTATCGTTATCTGCAATCTTATGCAATCGTGGTCTATTACTCCGCTTGAAATTAAAATACTCACTATTTATTTTCTTTTCCGTAGATCTATTGAAGAAAAACTGTTTAATTTAATAAAAATATTTTAATGTTGTAATCCATCGGGTTAATATCTTCGCGGGACCACCAAACGTCTCAATTATTCTAATTTTGATATGGATGTAGAACCAAGTACGAGCAACAGAAAAGATGAAAAATGTAATGCAAATAACCAACGTTTGATAGCCGAAAGCGGCGGCCGTTGCATGAGCACACAAGCGATGCAGTCACTCTACGATTTCCGACAAAATAATTTGCTTTGCGATGCAGTATTGAGATTAGAGGACGGTGGTGTTTTCCCGATTCACCGAGCTATACTTTCAGCATGCAGTACTTATTTCAGGTTTTTAATTCTACCCGACATATTCTCTTCAAGCTTTACATTATGTATGTGTGTACATATGTATATATGATAATTATCTAAAAAGAAAGTAATTTTGCCTATCAATGCACAAATATATTAATTTTATGAAATATACAAATTTATTACTATATGCAAAATCAATGAATATTCCTTATAATAATAATAATCCGTAGAATTTAATAATTTTATTGATGCTGTTTTTTTTGCTATCTTAATTTTTGTAATAAATTTCTATCAAAATAAACATATTATCTTTTTAAAATAAATAATATAAATTATTATATATTAATTAAAATAAATATCGGATTAATGTTCGCAACTTTCATTGCCCAATTAATTTTACAGGACATTATTCACAACTACATTGCATTCTCGTGAGAAAACCGATGTCCTTCTACCAGGTGTGACGAGCCCGATGATGAATCTTTTGCTGGAATACGCATATTTGCGATCTATTGATGTGAATCGTGAAAATGTATGCGAATTGTTGACCACGGCGGATTATTTAAGTATTCTGGGTGTACTTGATCTGTGCTGCGACTATCTAAGGGATAATTTGGCGCCGGAAAATTGCATCGGAGTGATGAGATTCGCTCGTCAGCATTTTTGCAAAAAGTTGGAAAATGATGCTTATCGTTTTATTGTAGGACACTTTGTCGAGGTGCGATCAACGTAATAATTTTTACATATTTTATTCTTCCCCTCCGATTTCATTCTCTTCAAATTTACGTTAGGTATCTCAGAGAAGCGAAGAAATTTTATATTTACCCATCGAGGAATTAAAGCCGTTAGTCGGCGCCGATGAACTAAACGTGAAAAGCGAGCAGACGGTTTGGGAGCTGATACTGAGATGGATAAATCACGATCTAGAATCTAGAAAAGATTATATAGTGGACCTAATGAAGAATATTAGACTCGGTCTCTTAGACACGCAGTTTTTTCTGGAGAATGTCAAAGATCATCCTTACGTCGTGGGCAATGATGCGTGTAGACCCATCATCATCGAAACTCTGAAATTTCTATACGATTTGGAGATGATCACCCAGAAAGACGGAGAAGTGCCAACACCGGAAATCGCGCGACCTAGAGTTCCACATGAGATTTTGTTCGCCATCGGTGGATGGAGCGGTGGCTCGCCAACAAATTATATCGAGACTTATGATACGAGAGCAGATCGATGGATTCCGGTAGTATCAATGATATTTTAATGTACAATTTCTTTTTAACGCGAAAAAATACCGTCTCGTTTTGCCATCTGCGTGCATAATAATCGCGAAGTAAGCTGTAAAAATCGAAAAATACAAATGGTAGGACTATTTGTATAGTGAATATATACAAATTATCTTTTATTTTTTATTAATTCTATTGGTTTCATGCAAGAGAAATTGAACGAAATAGTATTCATGATTTTCTCTAACAATAAAGCCACGTTTTATACTAAAATTGGAATAAATATTATTTCAATAGAGTTATAGCAATTATTTATATGCGATCTTGAGTTCTCTAGATCGAAGAAACAGATCCAACCAGTCCACGAGCTTATCATGGACTCGCAGTGATTGGATTCAATATCTACGTTATCGGAGGGTTCGACGGGGTCGATTATTTCAACAGTTGTCGTTGTTTCAACGCGGTGACCAAGGTGTGGCGAGAGGTTGCTCCCATGAACGCTAGAAGGTCGAATATATTTCAGAGGGGCTAGTCACTAGTCCTGTGAAAGATTTGTGGATGATATTATTGTCTGTTGATATTTATTGTCAATTTATTTACAATGATATTAATTTTATTGTCCATTTATTTACAATTATAGATATTTAAGAAATGAATAAAATAGTACGTTTATATATTCATTCTTAAAATCATATCTAATGCACATTTTCTAATTAATCCAAAAAGTTAAATGTACTACATAATAAAATTGATGTTAGATGTAGAAAAATATAAAAATGTGTATATGTATAGATATTGTGAAAACAATATAAACCAAAGTTCAGTGACTAGCTCCTCTAATATCACTGGCAACGAAAGCTCGCATCAGGCTCCCTTCATTTGTCGCAGATGTTACGTTAGTGTGGCAGTTTTGAACGATCTGGTCTACGCGATGGGAGGATATGATGGATATCATCGGCAAAAAACGGCGGAGCGTTACGACTATAAGACAAATCAGTGGTCCCTCATTGCACCTATGAACGTGCAGAGATCTGACGCCAGCGCAACTACTTTGAACGGTACTATTTGAGTCTTAAAATAAGCACATTATTACAATTATTTTATTTCGTCTAAAGATCTTGGCTGTAGCATAATTTTGCTGTATTAAAAATGCAGATATATTTTGAGATGAAGAGAGGGGGGGGGACAAGTATTTTGTAAAATAATTTTTTAATATGACACACACATACATATATATTAATAATTTTTTTGTTATATATAATATAAATATGGATATAAGTAATTAAAGTATACACTAAGAAAAAAAAATAAATAGTACAAAAAAGTTATTTATTGAAAAGAAAGGAATGTATATAATATAAAAAGAGAGAGAGAAGACAAATTTTTATTTCTTCCTTAATAAATTTTCAAATTTTCAATTTGATGTGCTTATAAATCTCTGTCAATCTTATTTTTGCAACATAACAATCATTCTATTAGTATATATATTTTCCGTATGTTCTATAGACAAAATATATATTACGGGCGGTTTCGACGGGCATGATTGTCTGAATACAGCCGAGGTATATGATCCAAACACCAATCAGTGGACAATGATAACTGCAATGAGGTCACGCAGGAGCGGCGTGTCGTGCATATCTTATCACGGCTACGTTTATGTTATTGGTATTAAGACATGTACTTATTGCGAAAGAAATCCTGTCACGGTACTTGCAAAACATATGCACAAGTATTTGTATATAGAAGAAAACTCTTAATTCCAAAACTGTTTCACGCTTAAAGCTGCTTTAGTATGCCTTGTACATATTTATCTGAATTTTATCAATCACGCACAAATATCAGAATTTAACCCATTGTAAAATTTAAAAAAAAATTTCCTTTCTCGTTACTTTTTATTTTATTGCAAAATAAATATGTAAATGTTGCAAGCAAATTAACAATCTCTGGCTATAAAGGAGGCTTCAACGGAATATCGAGAATGTGCAGCGGGGAAAAATATAAGCCTTCTACGAACACGTGGAGTCATATTCCGGATATGTATAATCCGCGTAGCAACTTTGCCATTGAAGTCATTGACGATATGATTTTTGCTATCGGTGGATTTAACGGTGTTACTACGACGTACCAAGTGGAATGTTACGATGAAAAAACGAACGAATGGTAATTAATTTATCATCAATCCATTTTACAATTCTATATAAGAAAGTAATACTATATTAAAACAGTATAAACAGCTGATATAAAAATAATTGCAAATCTAACTGTAATGTAATAAATGTTTATTTGGAAATCTCGCAAAATTTAATTTTTTGGACATATCTCTTTTATATAACTCAAAATATTTAAAATTTATGAAACATTCTGTGACGTGCAATCAAATTTACAACGAAAAAGGAACGTCTGATAACACAGGCATCTGATTCCTGTTAGCCACTTTTCTGTGGCTAGAAATTATAATATTTATTCTTATAATTGTATGCAAACGCAGGTATGAAGCAACGGATATGAACATATGCAGATCGGCATTATCGGCTTGCGTGATCATGGGTCTTCCAAACGTATACGATTATATACACAAGCATCGCGAGCGATTGATGGAGGAGAAGCGTCAAAAACTACTGGCTCACGAAGTACGCCGGAGTCAGCATCAACAACAGCAGGAACAGGAGCAAATGAGACAAACTATGCAGATTACTCAAGCCATACCAACACCACCATCTCTACCACGAACAAGCGAGAACGATAATAATAATAATAATCGTTGGCGTTAAAGCCAATAATTATTATCATTAAATTGAAGAAGCCATGCAATACCTGTCTCATTCAATTCATCCGCAATGCAAATTTTAGATTATTGCCAGTCGCGTAACCCGGAATAACAATCACAAAGATAAATTAGAGAATCAATGTCACTTGATCAATATCATCTGATCAAATTGTCAATGATAATAACACAGAGACAACTGTTTATATATACTTATTATTTATATTATTCTTGTCTACTTCGCGAAAAGAATATTTTCAGACTGCCATTTACTCATCTTTGTTAAGTTAAATCTTTTTTGATACTGCAAATATTTTCTATCGAATCTTTTTGCGATGCAATTTTACGCATATTATATAATGTCATCTTGAATAATTGAAGCAATTTAGAGGACGAACAGCCATTTTTATCGCAAATACTAATAATATTCCATTGTTACACATAATAATATTAACACAGATTGAAACAGCTGCAACGTACATATTAAAAAGACCGAAAACATTGAAGGAAAACAAATGATAAAATGAGGCGAGAAATGCAGAAACATAAAGAAATATATCAACGTAATCTGATGAGACATAAAATAATTTTGTAATAGAAAACATGACGAATCGCCCATCCAAACAAGTGTTCACAAAATAATTTCTTAAGTCCGACATTTCATGTGACAGCAATGTTCTTTCTACATGTGTAACAAAAAATAAAATTACAGTAACTTGTACAAAATTGTTCTTTATTCATAATACTTATGATCTATCATACAAGTAAAAGTCTATTGCATTGAGAAGTTAAATATAGATAGATTAATCCGTAGGGTATAAAAAATGTTCTTACCTTTTTCTACAAAATTATGTGTAGATTATTGGTATTATATACACATCTTAT